TGTCAGGGTGGTTCACCCATGCAAGGTGGGTCATGTGCTGAACCACTATGCATCACTATGCTGTAGGCTGTAGCTGCTTCGGTCAGTTTGCTTGGCCTTTGCTCCCACAAGAGCTATATAGCAACCACATGCAACCACTACTGCCTATACGAACTAAGTCAACCTCACATTCCACCCCCCTTGCCATTTGGCTCCACTTTCGGGAGCCCGCGCGATGCCAGAGAGGCCGCGATGCCGGAGGGACGGAGGATCGCCTTCCCTCGCCCTCACCCGGTCCAACTCCATCGGTCGTCGTTTCGAGGAGCGGAAGTTGGACCCCAAGTGGGTCGATATCTCGGACCCCAAGTTCGTATTGGGTTTCAGGCCAGGATGTTTCAGGGTGCTTGTAAATATATATATATACTGTATATATAATATCTATTGTATAAATTGTAGCAGAAGGTTTTTTAGATGTGAATCGCTTCGGAAGTTTGTGTGTGGCTTTGTCCGTACCCTAGGGCTCCTGGCCCATCTCAGAAGGTGGTTAGACCCCCCTGGCACCCACCCCAACCATCTTCTCAGGAGGTGGTTGGAGCGCTAGCTATACGTGGACTCGTTCGGCCGGGCATGCAGGGCCTACTCGGGCGGCTCGACCGGCCTGTCGGACTTCAAGCAGTGACCGGGCCGAGCTCGGGATCGACCTGGGTGAGGGCCGGGCTAAGGTGGGTGAGGAAGGTGGTTGAGGAGGACACGTTTTCCCAGGTATACTCCCCCGCAAACTAACGAACCTGAGAATTGACCAGTGGTTTCGAGCATTTTCCGAATACCAACCCAGTGGTTTTGGGGTTCCATGTCAACCTGCAGGGGAGTAGATGTAGAAGCTCTTCTAGTTCAGAAGCTTCAAGGTGCTGGTGTTTCTTCTACTTTGAAAAGCCAACCAGCTTAAAAGCATAGTGAGGACTATCACTATTCAAAAGGAAGCAAGATGTGTTTTCCCCTAATTATAGGGTCCTCCACCCCAGAAATCATATTCCTTCTCTAAAGCAGCCTCTATATTTGATCATTTGCGGTTTGTTCTTGAACCCTCCAAGATGTATGTTTCCAAGGTGACCAGAGGCCTTTGGGCTGATGTTGGGAGAGCCTTTCACGAGCACGAATCGATGTTAGAGGCGAACGCAAAATACTCCTACACTCCAGTCCAGTCATCTCCAGTCGCTATTGCGAACAGTGGGGGAACCATCTTCAGTGCTCCACGTCGTGGGGTGCACCATGCTGCATTCCACAACGGACCAAGGGTGGCGCTCTTGGGTGAGGGCGCTTACTCTGCTGTTTACAAGGCAGGGGGTGACTGAAGGAGTCCTTTGAGCCAGTTTCGACTTCGTAGGTAGCACGATGGTGGCTCCTTTTTGGATTGGTGACATGAATGAACCCACTCTTTTGGGTTTTTGTTTCCTGTATGATTGATTGACATGATGGCAGCTGTTGGGTCTCTCCCGATTCTCAAGGAATACGTTTCTCGAAGTGGGTTAGACTCATAGACCTATATAAATTACTGCGCTACCATTCACAGAATCAAAAGCATATTGCATGGGTGCTTCAGCTATTTTGGGTAGATAATCCCGGCAAGATGCCCGAAACAGTGTTGTCCTTGAGGTCGTCTAAGGTCTTGTGGCGATTTGTGGTGTAGAAGGTCTACAGATCTGAATCTAGACGTTTTGGGCTCCAGACAGACCTAGAGATGTAGAGGTCTAAAGATCCAGTGGTCTAGAGGTCTAGACAAATCAAAATGCCTAGAGACTCTTGAGATCCAAAGAGGCCTAGCTTTTGAGACCCGGAGAGGTCTTGAGATCCAGATGTATCAAGAGCTCTAGGTCCAGAGATGTCCAGAGGCCCAGGAACCTAGAGGTTTCAAGTTCTAGAGAATCTAGACTTTGAGAGATCTCGAGATCCAGAGAGATCTAAAAGTCTCGAGTTCTAGAGGGATCTAGAAGTCTAAAGGTCTGGAGAAGGTGTTGTCATGGCCGAGAGATCTACAAAAGGTTGGAGGTTTACAGATCTGGAGGTCTGGAAATCTGAGATTCAGAGAGATAGAGGCCGACCTCTTGAAATCCAGAGATCTTGAGATTGAGAGAGATCTAGAGCTCTGAATCTGAAGATCTGGAAGCTTCTAGTTCCAGAGGTTTAGGGACCTAGAAGTCTAGACGTCTTGAGACCCGGAGATATGTATCAGAGGTAGAGATAGAGATTTAGATGCCTGCAAGGATCTACAGAGATCTAGAGGCCCAGAGGCCTAGAGGTCTGGAAGTCTAGAGAAGACAGATATGAGCACATGTAAGAGCTCGCATATATGAGACACGTTTGAGAGCACACGCACGACAGCACACATATATGAGAGCACACATCAGAGCACGCTCACATATTTGTCCCCAACTTCAGGTCACAATTCATTGCACCTTCCATGCAAGCAGAGCACGCTGAAGACCATCACCACGTCCAAAGTACTGCGCCTGCTACGCCTGCATATCGAGGTAAAGCCGCTTATCTCCAGCACCTGCCACGAAAAGTCAGCTTCAGTGCCAGATGTCAAGTCTGTCCTCCCCCGAAGTGCCGCGCCCGGTTCGAAGAGGAGTCCTCCTCGCCATCCAAACGAATCCCGAACCTGAAGCAAAAGTCAAACCCCGAAGCAGAAGAACCTGCCCTCGGGACGGAAAATACGTAGATGAACGTGGTACGCACATGTCCGAGGATAAGACTTCAACGGCCAGGGTGGGGAAGCAGGGAAGCAGATGCCAGATGAGTTCAATTGGAATCCAACGTCAAGTTGCATCCAAATACTAAGGGTGCAACATGTTCTTGCCGACAAACAGTCTCGACTCATGGTCATAGATCTCCGTCCTTCGTTTGTTGCTACTGTTTGGACTCAGGATCAGCTATCAATCCACCGAGGTAGTTAGTACGTAGTCATCATCCTGGTTGGAATGGGCAATCCGCTAGCAGCATCCCACAATTTTGTTGAAACCCTGGAAACCTGGAACACCCCAGCTGTGCAATCATAATTTAAACGTCCAACCATGCCCAACCATTGTCTTGCAGATTGTCTTCTATTTGGCCCGCATGTCTTGGTCACCACACCATGACGTGGAGTGCAACGTCGTCACACCGTGAGGTCCTACGAGTCGCAGATAACGAGGCAAGGTTTTTTCAGCATGGGCAGGTTTGTCATGAAGTTAGATGAACAACACTTGGAATTGGTAATTGGTGGTGCTTTAATAATCTTTATATATAATTCATTCTGTATAGACCGGGTGTGGAAGATCTTGGGATAACAGGGTTGTTGGTGGTATATTCATGTATATCATATAACTGATATTGTTTATGCTGAAACAGGGAAGAAGGCATTGAACACAATCCATGGATGGATGTCCAATTCAACTCCAGCCATTGAAAAGACCGCAGGTGTAACGCAGGATGGAATCCTTAGATGCACGGAAGGGCCCCTAAGTTGCCATGAGTGCCAAGTTGTTCAAGGTTGTACAATCCTGGTTGTTCCACTTGCATTTCTTTGGTGACCAATGAGCATGCTGATTCGTCACACCTACAAACTACCAGGTTTGTGGCTGAAAGATGAATTCACAGTTTTACCTCAGCTGGAACTTGGGATCAAAGGTTCAGGCAGGGAAATACGTCAGTAGCTTCCAGCCCAATCATTTGACAGGAATATACAGTCAACTCGATAGCAGCCATGTTTTTCTGAATCTGGTTGGTTTTTCCTTGCTTTTTTTCGCGGACAAACACTATATATACATCAACATGTGGAAGAGGGTTAAGAGTCACATCCCCTCAGACCTTCCAGCATTTCTGAGGATGTCAATGCTGCGATGAGGCTGTCGCTGCCTGATCTCCAGCCAGGTCTATGCCCTGAAGAAGGTGAAATTGCCGTCCCTCTCGGACAAGGAGATGTTTATTTCCGGAACCAGCACTAGAAAACAAAGATATCCTGGGACTCCGAAGAGATGCGCGAACGCACATTGAGAAAAACACATGATGCTTTTTGTGTGCAGAACGTGAGAACATTCCTAGAACCCATGCTGAAGAACATTATTGTATATACCTGTTTTTGGTTAAACCCTGCGAGTACATAGATGCCTGAGAAATGCTTTGCAATGATGCATGAGACGTGCCCGCGGTTCAAAGCCAAGCACTATCATGCAACTTTAAAATGCCTGCATGAAAAGAACGAATGTGTGAACACAAGCACAGGCATTGAGTCTCAATGTGGTCTTTTGCTGGTTTTGGCCACGTAGCAATGTGTTTTGACGCGGAGAGGGGTTTTGCATGGTGAATCCTGCAACGAGGTGACGCGAAGATAGAGGACATGAATGAAGCTAATGATGCCCTCACAGACCACATTTCAGAGACAACATGACATTTTTCGGTAACGTCGCCTTTAAAGTATATCGTTCAAATAAATGCCCGTTCGATTGTTCAATAATCGCATATGTTTAAAAAAACTATACCGTGTTTTTATTGGGCCATGAGCTGCGCCGGACCAACTGCTGCGGTCTCAGGTCCACACCTTCGTTTTCTCGAAGGAGGATTCATCGGAAAAAACGACGGACTGACTAAGCAGACGGACAATGGAAAGCATTTCATGAATTTCATGCGTCTTAGAGTCTTTTTTATGTGTTTTCTTCTTTTGGTGAATTATGGACAGAAAATCGGATGTAACTTCTATGACGAACTTCCCCGTTGGGGCTGCGTTGGGGTCAGGTTTCGAGCGGAGGTGAATGGCTGGTTGTTAGATCTGTCCACAGAGGTGCCACTCCTGATATACCAGCACCTTCCAAGGGGTCACCAATGGAAGCCTTTACACTACATATGGATCCCCATTGGACACCCCTTGGAAGGTCCAGGCATGCTTGTTTGCATTTGCCATAAATGGTAACAAGTACTTGGCTGCAGCATTTGTTTGAGCCTCAGGGTGGAGACGGTCTCTTTGGGTGCGTCATTTCCTGATTGCCATGGCGCTCGAGCTCAATGAGTATATCAACAGGACGACCGGCATCGTGAATTCAGCCCACGCAGCCAGGGGTGCGAATCTACAGGATCAATTCGAGTCTTGCTTGAATTTTCAGAGAGGGATTGAAAACTGATGGAAAAAACAGTGCCCCTGTTTAGGTTGATGAAAGCCACTGCCGGTTTAGTTTCCAAACCTGTGCAAGAACAAGGTAGCGGCGTCATTAATGACCCCGTTTTTGTTTAAAAGTATTATTCCTAACATGAAACTCCACGAGGACGATGTTTTTAATCGTTTGCGAACTGTGTTTCGACCGTTATTTGCAGGAGAACGAGCAATTTTGTCAGAATTTGATTGTGTAAAGTGTTTCGGTCCGAAAACAACGAAATTGGTCACCAACATAAATTGCTGCAGAGCTATATGCAACACTTCAAGAATCAGCGGATCAGCGGTGGAACTTTCACTCCAGGTTTTCAACAAGCTATCTTAAGATACCACAGGTCTACCTCAAACCATGATTGCAATGATTAGGGGAGCTGATCCACCCCTGTCCACCCCCCTAACCTCAACAACACAACGAAAGCCAAAGCTAAAGCGGAAACATGCGGAAAATTCCGCCATACGAGCAACAAAACTGCGTCCGGATCGACGACGGAAAATCACATCTCAGTGAGGCGTGTTGACCCAAAACGGTCCAGCCACCAAATATTCCAGCACTCCATGTAAGGAATATTTGCCGAAATGGCACGCTGGATGGGCGTTGATGATGTGGGATCCCAGACCATCCTTGCTGTATGCTATCCACGCATGGCCATAGAAGACTTATAAAATCTAAGGTTAGATATGATAAATAATCCAGACGGGTTTGAAACATGCATGTGTGCAAGAAAACATGTGCGCAATACAGCACGCTTCGTGCATACATATTGGTGTGCAGAGCGCAGAAGAGTTTCCTTTGTGCGGGAGTGCAATTGAACTGAACGTTAACATCCCACCCCACCCCACCCCACTCTCAGTCACTTGTATTGTGTGCGTAGCGTAGAAAGGTTTCGGCTGTATGGGTGTGCAGTTTGAACCGAACGTTAACATCCCAACCCCACCCCAGCCCACCCCCCCCCACATGCTATGATGTGCATGACGGACACGAATGTCAAAAAGACTTGTAAATACCACACGAAACTACAAATTGCCACAAATACCGCAGGAAATCGTGTGCAAACCCTCAAAAACAGCGGGGTCGTTAATGACACCGCCAGCAAGAACAAAAAACCGCTTCGAAGGACACCAGGCCTTGCTTCCTACTGTAAGACCACTCCCTACGCACAGCAGCTCCTGCTATTGGAAAAATAATGACAGATTATGTCATGCAAAGTTTAAATTCAAGCCGCCAAAAGATGCATATGTATATAATATATATTGACCACCTCCACCACAAGCGGTTACCACATTATGCGACAAATGCCACCTGACACGGGCTCGTGTCAGGTTCAACGAGACAGTACTTTGTGCCGATTTGTGCCTGTGCGTATTCTACAGCATGTCTGTGATGTAGATGCTACACCCCCGCCAAAGCACGGCAGGTGATAGGGCTGCACGAGCACGAGACATCCCAAAGGTATCCTCATATATGGGCCTTTGGGCAGTTGGGCCTTTGGACAGTTGCGATCCTGGTTGCTGCAGTAGGCTAGCACAGCTGAGGACTGTACTGGAGAGATCATCGATGCTGCTAATCAAATGATGAATGCGGGCCAGAAGCTCACGGTTGATGACATGCTCGAGGAGATTGAGGTTTTTTTGATATTTGGACCTACTATATATTTGCATATACATACACAATCATACACATACATAGTTGGCACAATGCTCGGAATTGACAGAATTGATCCACTTCACATCACTTCACTCTATAGAGTGTATGCCTCACTTTCTGGTGTTTTTGTGGTCAAAGTCCGTCGGGCTAGTCACTAACCACGCCTAGGCCAACTCTTGGATATTTGGTGGGGGGGCCGGTTGGTACGGACTGGGACCATTTGGCCAATTGAACTTCTAGAAGTGGTGACACCCAAGACAACAATGCACTCCTGCTCCCACCAACCTTCCCATGGAAGACTGGTGAACCGACCCATCTCCTGTATTGCACTTTAAGTGTGGCTGCACTTCCCCCCCACCCCATGCATCCCTTTTGACAGGCCGAGGCTGCGCCACGAATACCAGAGCATCATCCCGAGCGCGAGTGGCAAAAGCAAGGCTTGATGATCAATGCCTTGGCTCATGCCGCCCGCTGGGCTGCCAGCGATGCCATGGACGGCTCCACGCCCTCAGCAGACAACGCCGAAGCCAGCGAACGCGGCGAAGAGCCGGAGGCACCCGCGCAGGGCGAGGCGCTTTGGGTGCGGTTTGGGAGCGGGTAGAAGTCACATGAGGCCAAACCATCGAAGCCACCACCCGCCTACAGAGGTTCCATTTGGGGATTATGTTCTGTTAGATGAGCGCATTCCAGGAGGTCATCATTCAGGCTTTAATCGACTCACTTCGCCCCATGCTGCGGACGTTTTTGGCGCAGACCAGAAGGAAACCAAGACACTCAGATGTGCTGCGCTAGGAGTGTTTTCCTTTGTGTGTCCAAGGATTTTCAACGGGGTCGCGGCCCGTTTATTCTGCTGCTAATCAATCCATGTTAAACATGCGCATGCTGCGTCTATTGCTCCATCCTGTTCCAGTCTCTCCATCCAACAATGCGAGGAAAGCTCTTCGTGGTCTGCGACGGGACCATCGGGTCGGGTAAGACGACATTGCTCAATGAGATTGAAGAAGATCGTCCGGCCGGCGTGGTGATTCATCGCGAGCCGGTGGAAGAGAAATACGAGAAGACATGGTGGCCACTATTGACTCAATTCTACCATGCAATGGAGACTTGGCGCCGGATGATGCATGTGTGCAAGTCAGCCCATTTTCGGATGTGACAGGATTTCAGCATTATGTGAGCCCGACAGCATGCATTATTACGACAGATCATCAGAAATCATAACTATGTATACATTGTACCAGGACCCTCCAAGGAGTGCCCAATGGAAGCCTATAGGTAGTGTGGGGTAGTCCATTGGACACCCCTTGGAGGGTCCAGGTACATGTACATTCAGATGGGATATTACTAGGAGGAGATGAGAAACAAAAGAAAACAGATCGGCGACTTCGGACCCGAATGGCCAACCTGTCATGTCGTTGACTCATTGCTGATGTGATGATTCTCCAGCACGTGGGAAGAGGCACAAGCCCCGTAGACTACTCTGGAGCTGCTGTCCATTGTGCAGTAGAAAAAATCCTTACAAGTCCAAAGACCTACAACAACCTGGCCTTTTTTCTCCTCAAGTACTGTTTTTGTATGACCAACTCCAGTAAAATGAGCTCATTGACTGGTAAGGATTACTTGACAATACTTGAAACTGTTTTCAGCCCCGAGAGAGAAAGCGGTTTTGTATGTCTTGCCAGTGGTGGAGGCCATTGTAGGCCCATGAATTCGTGGCAACACTGCACGACTTAGGAAGAGCTGAAGAAATGGCAGACGAAGGCCGAACAAACAAACAGTTTTTTCCACCACAGAAGTCATGTGCAGGCTGTGCAGTGTGGGAGGGGGAGGGGGAGAAGCATGTGAATGCAAAGAATTCAGTACCCGGGTCCAGTTTTTGACTGTTGTTGTCATATGTAATCACCAAAATCCTTTAGCTGACCTGTGAAGCGGTTGCAGTTTCCATTTGGAGTGCCACAGGCGGGGTGTTCGCACCATGTAATAACCTAGGTACTGTACGTGCTTGCTAAACACGGTGAATGCCTGGACTCTGGACGCACATCCCTGTAGGAGGCTGCTCAGAAGGCAGAGACGGCGACCCGTGCGCTGGAGCACGCCATCTGGAATCATCATAAGACCATTGCAGTCTTGGCAGCGCTTATGTGAGCCTCCCACACCAAGTACTTACAATACCTGTACCCTACAGTACAAGCATCACGTGGATGAAGCAACCCAGGATCTTCGTTGTGTAGGATGGGTCACACACCAAAGACGTATAGCAGCTGAGAAATCTCTGAGAAGTAGGAACCGAGCCTTTGAGAAGTAGGAGCCGATCATGAATATGTGACGTTCTTTGTTGGGTTTTGTTGCGCCAAGTTAGTGTGCCTACTGTTTGAAATTTGGCAAATCCTTTGAGGCATTGAATCAAGATTATGATGTGATCTCGGAGCGATGCTGCGAAAGCTCGTTGCGTGTCTTTTGTCAAACACTCTTCACCAACAAGATCCTGCCAGAGGGTGGCGATGCTGCAATTGTGCTATGTATGTAGCGGCTTCGTTGTTCCCAATACAAGTGGTCATGGGGTTTGGACATCCATATGCTTCCAAGGCTCGGTGGATGTATGCTTTAAATTTAGGACCCCAACAAATATGTATACCCAAGGTTGTCAAGATCGTGGTAGTGAACTGCTTGCCACTTCATTTGTTGGATCTACCTGGGCGGAGTCCTATGGACACTGGGCCACCTCCAAAGCAAAGCGCCCTCTTAGATTCAGAACTTTCTTAACACCCAAAGTCCCCTCGGATCCTCCGGTTGCTTCAGAAGTGAGTGGAGAATTGGCAACCCAGCCGAATCGCCTACCCTCCAATCACTCAATGATCGCCTTGTCATAGCCTTGGTGTGTTTGCTTTGTTTTCTTGTGTCCATTTTTACCAGGCCTGCTTCGGGAGTTCCAGAAGGACTTCGAGGACAACGATCTCAAACCGACGGTTACAATATATTTCAAGATACCAGTGGAAGAGGCCAAAAGAAGAATTAAGGAGCGGGCCCGGTTTTTCGAGCAGGATATCGTGGCCGAGGAATCAGAATATTTGTGGCTTGGCTTGATGAAGAAAGCACTTTTGGATTGTAGGATGTGTATTAATGTATAAAAACATTCAGTACATTTCAGTACCTAGTTTACTCCAGAGCTCGTTGTGTCAAATTCTGCAATTTCATATGGTGTTTTGCCATGTCTCGCCCACACTGAGAGTCTTAAGACATCTAGCTCTCGCGCCAGGCGGAACCTTGAGAAAGAATATGACCTGATTTATGGAGCTGATCGACCGGACGTGGTCCCCATCGAGGCCGCAGTGCCCGAGGGCCCCGTTGGGGATATGCGAAGTGCCGTGGTGGAAGCTTTGGAGACGAACCGAACCAGACTCACCAGGCATCTTGAGGACCAGAAATTTGAGTCTCCCCATCGAGAGCTGGACAAGATCATCAGTTGGTTCCGTAAGAGAAACACTGCTAGCAGCTGCTAGCAGCTCTTGGCGGTAGACATTACAGAAGTAGACAGAAGTCGCAGTTGCATATTGTCATGCTCCACTCTGCAGCTGATTGTAAATGGTGTTTTTTACCCGTGTTTTTTGCGAGATATAGCTGGGCAGTGCCAGCCATCAAACTCTGCAGACATGGATAGACATGGTGTAGCCATAATGGTTCAGATGCCATGTTCGTAGTCTCATGTCGAGCATCGGCATGTGGCTTAGATAGATTCACCAAACCGGGGGTAAATCGCCAACAATCCATCCATGGAATAGTTACATTGATTGACCCTGAAAACAGTCCCATGGATATCCATGGATCGGGAATGGTCCTCATCGTCAAGTCATCCCCGAAATCATTTGCAACCTGTGGTTATAAGATATAACCACTTCACTGCCAGGGGCCATAGGACTGAAGTGAGAGGCTCGCTCAGATATAACCGCACACCGAGTCGAAGTGTGCCCGAAAAGGCCCATGCGACCCTCACTTAACGACCACTCTCGACCCCGCATGTGGAGAAGTAAGGAAGATAGGGTCCTTAGCGCTGGCGTGGGCGAAGACATGCTTTGAGACAAACACAGATTCCACTTGTCAACCTTCCAGTCTGGCATTGCGCAGTGGGCGGCAGTGGACTGACTTCTTGGCAATTTGATCGATGGATCTTCAAGGGTGCCATTTTGGTGAACAGGTCTATTCGGAGATTGCTTGTTTTTTTTTGGCATGGTCGATTGGCAGATCCCAGCTCCCCCGTCAAAGCTGAATAGGTTCCTGGAAGGTAGTTTGGATATGTTTGGATGCCAAAATGTGTATTATGCAGGGTGATGGGGGACGGAAGGGCACTCACCAAGTTACTAACACAGATATACTCACGTGCTTTGACATGCTTTGACAGAACCGGTAGCTTTGTAGCTCTGACTATGGCAGAAGCACCCTCAGATCTTTGCCGTGATCCAGTCCCTCGAACGCCGTGTGCCGAGATGTCATGCAAGTCGCATGACTGGAGTAATTAGCCTTGAGACCAAACAGCTTGGGAGCAGAATTCTCAGTTCCAAATGCTTACTGTATATTTGCTTACATATATGTATATGTATTATATATATATATTACTATATTACTGTATACTAATATATATATATAATGCTATAGCGGTGGGCATATGCTTAGACAAACAAAAGTGTTGATGTGTTTTTTTCCAAAACGACCTTCCCTCGCTTAGAACATGCATGTTCTAAGTGTACACTTGGAACATCCGTCGGAAAGCGCCACCATGCGTGGCTACCTTTCCCTAGGAGCCAACAACTGAGATCATAGAACAAATTTGGAGAGGGCGAGGCTCATTCCGATTGTTGTAGTTTCCCTGCTTATTCTCTCCAAGTTCCCATCGACTAGCCTGTTTCTGCCAAATCTCCTCAAAAGTTGGTCTTTGTATGAATGTTCTAAGCTTAATTACGTTTTATGTCTAGTGCCCAGTGCTAAGATGTTCCAAGAGCATGTTTGTCCATGTTCTAAGCATGCACTTAGAACTTCTACCTGCGAAATGATGTTCCAACATTGCTTCCAAAATTTGTTCTAAGTGATTGTCCGATATTATATATATTCATAAGATAGACTGATATACCGTATACTTATAAGTGTATGCATGTATAAAGTTAATTCAATTCCAAAGGATTGGAAGGCCCAGCTGGTGCCCCGCGGAAGTACTGCATGAAGTAGATCAGGGTCTTCGGAGCTGTTTCAATGCGCAGGACCTTCCGTTGAGAGGTGACTCAGTTTCCTAGTCCAGGAGGACATCAATGCAGTTTCATAGCGCTGTTAGGGGATAAGCACATGACGAGGGAAGGGGCTAGTCACTTAGTGGGTCTTTTCTTGTGGCACCTTATTGTGAGCAGCTTCTAGTTTCCTTTTGACAACGCTTAATGAATGAGGAAATCTGCGCATCAGAGTGTCGGGCCGTATAGGACTGTGCCCGCGTTTGGTGCCAAATGCCACATGAGGCACCAAGATTCAGGTTGCATACAACTACAACGCTGCTTGAAAAGAAGAACAAACAAACAAATCGCTGAGTCCCGGGTCGTTGTTCAATTCTTTTGTTCTGGCCACCAGTGATGTGTTGATTGCATACAGTGCAGGTGGCAGTGTGTGCAACACTGAAAACAATGTGACCGTAGGTGGCTGCAGCCGAGATCAGCCCAGTAGGACATAGACCTCCTGATCTTCCGTGTCGCGCCCGTTAGGAGCACATCGCATGCTTCATGAGACTTGAGCTGCGCGGAGATCCTATACTTGAAGTAGGGAGGTGTGCACAGTCTAGAGCTGGCTAGGCCAGTGTACATAGTAGGAACCCTGGACCAATGTTTAGTCAGGGATGTAGGATTTTGGGGGGACATTTGTCCTGGCCAGCCAGCACCCAATGTGTGTTGCTGGTTTGGAGAGATCTTTAGCTCAGCTGGAACCAAGCAGTACAAGCAGCACAGTGTGCTGCAGTTACAATGGCAGGGGCCCACACCAAAACACCTATAGTCATGAACCCATGGATAAGCGCAGTTAGAGCGATCCACATTATACTAGTTTCTGGACCTTGTGGCAATTTGAGAAAGTAGGGGACCAGTGACTTTCCACGACTCTGTAGAACGCATCGGCGCGACCGTTTCGACGCGACCATGCATCCAGCGCTGAACTCGCCAGCCAGTATGGACTGAAGCGAACACATCCAGCGCCCAAAGCCATGTTTCTGATGTTTCTATGGCTCAGCTGAGCACGTTCCACCGTTTGGAGCAAGGTGAACGGCCTCGCGGCCCTTTGTCTTCAACGCCCCGAGCGGCAGTTCCGCACCCCCGGCTCCTAGTGCAGCGCCGGGTGGACTGGAATTCGGTTGACCTAAGCCAACCAACCGTGCAAATGGAGCGCCTTCGGACACTTAGCCCTGGGAATCCTAAGAAAAAGATTAAACAGGGAGGATTTGCTCACTTGGACACTTTTGATGACAAGTCTGGTGGAGGAAATTCTTCTTGCTTGTTGGGGGACTGCTTGTGGCAATGTGAGGATGTTTGGAGTCCTTTCAACATACTGCATAGAAGAACCACTTCGGGGGGCCTCCGTTTGCATGTGCTGCAGCATCGAGTGACAGAGAGACACGCGTCACCAGAAGCAATGAAAAGGACAATTTTGCGTGGATTGACAAATTGAAGTGCCATCAGTGACGATGCTGATGCATGTTGATGCATGGCGGAATGAGATCATACTGAGAGAAAGGATGAGAAAGGTATTATGTATTGGGAAGCGAGTGGAGGTTCTGATGGTGATTCGCGATGTGATGTTTTCGAGCCAACCGTCTCAGTGTGGCAGGCCGTGCGCCTTTTCCTCTAACCACAACACTTGATGCAAAGACTCCCAGGCCTACGTGCCGCCGATGGGCTGCGTTTTGTTTCAGCTGGCAAAGGACCCGGGGACTGTTGAATTGAGCAGCAAACCTTTGAGAGTTGGTTTGCTTCCGGATGTATGTGCAAGGGGAGTGAAGCGTTTGTCCAGGCCGGTTGCATCATTTTGCATCACCACACCTGATATCATCACATCTCACCTTCCTTTCTCCAACCTCCTCAGTCGCGTCCATTCAAGTGGGCTATAGGCTATAAGTTTCTTTTCAGTCGCATCACACATGCCATCCAATGCCCCTCTCGTTGATTGATTCCTGACTGGCCACAAATTCAATCATTGAACCTTATTGCCAGACCACTGGATTTCTGTGCAGGACAGCTGTCAGCTTCCGTGTCGAAAACGGCCAGCAGTTCTTGGCAAAGGTGTGCCAGTGGCACTGCAGCCACGTGGCTCACAAATGTGCCCACAAAGAGACCAGATGGATGCAGACTGTAACTTCAGCCGGGCACAAACTCCAAGAAGGCATCGGCATTTTAGTTTTAGTGACTACTACAGTGCTTGTCCCCAGAGCGCAACTCCAAGAGAGCCTGAAACTCGTACGCATCCCAACTTAGGAAGCCCAGAGGAGAAGTAAGTTGGCAAAGCCTCTTGAAATGAGCAAACACAGAAAGCTTGGACAATTCCTCATGGACACTGTCGACACTTCCCAGCTTCCCTTTTGAAACCCCATTTGGGTTCCAATTCTCCTCGGCTTGTTCACCCGAAGCGGGTTCCAAGGCCCGCCCCGGACCGGGAGGGCGGAAAGGTAGGCGTACGTGGTCGCAGGTGTCTCAGGCAGTAAAACCATTGGCTTTCGGGGATTTTCTCGGGTAACAATGGCCTCGAACATCTAAAACCCACACTGAGAGGGTGGAGCAGGCCTGTCTGTGGCCAAGCTTCTCTGATGCCGTCAGAGAAGCTTGGGGATGGATTGGTCGGCATTGGACCTACTGACCAGAAGTGTCCTGGCACAGCATTCAGCGGAGTGGTGGTTGTGTATGGAATATACGCATCTCTTGCCGCAGCCTGCGCAAATCGCGGCTCAAAACTTCTGGATCCCAAAGATGGATTGCCAGATATTGATGTTTGCCTTGGCTGCAAGCCTTTTGGCGGCTTTGTGGTGGAAACTCGGGAAGAGCTGGCAGGCTCGGCGTCGGAAGGAACTTGGTGGGTATAAAGCCTTGCCTTTGGTTTCAGATGAGGAGGAGGCACATGTCGAGAGCCACGAAGGCCCCTACATCTCGTACCCAGTCGATTCCGATGGAGAATCGCCAGAGGTGGATCGTGCCGAAGACTCATTGCTCAAGACGCCTTGCACGGCAGATTCTGAAGCGCAGCAGAGCGAACCCGACGTGTCACTGGGCATTTGCAGCACTCTTTTCTTTGGACTTGGCACGCTCACGTGGCTCGTGGCACTCCTACTTTGCAAAACAACGACTTGGCTGATGCTGCTCATGACCATGCCTGGCTATTTCTACGGAGCCTTCGTGGCTCTTTATGCTGAATGGAGTCACGATCCCGTGGACTTAATCATCGGCATCGTGAGTGCGGCACTCTTCGTTTGGTGCCTGGCTTTGCCATTTCTGGAAGGAAAACCTTGGTATGTCCTGGCACTCCAAGGCGCCAGCGCGCTTCTTGGAACACTGGCACTGAGGTCGCGCTTCTGGTTCACGGAACTGGAGCCCATTAAGAGATTCAGACTCAGCCTTTCTAGCCTCCTAGTGGCCTGGTTAGCCGTGGACCTGATGCCTGTTTCTGCTACTTGAGCTCTCAGCCCTTGCTCCCTTTGCAAGTGATGGGCAGGATTGCAGAAAGGCCTTGTCCCCAACATGGCGAACTGCGTTGGACGAGCCCGAAAGCCTCGCCATGGCCACCGACATGCAGGATGCCCTTTGAACCCAAGATGCCTTTGGACTTTTGCCCTCTACTTGGCGTCCTTTAATTTGGCACGATGTGTTTAGTTTGGATTGCCCTCAAGATCCTGAAGAGCGTGTCTCGAAAAGTCAACGGTGGCCAGCGGGTTGCGAGAAGCTGGGTCTTGGCCATACTCTTGGGGACGCCCTCAGCTTTGCGAGCGGGCAAAACTTCAGTCTTGGATTCCAAGCCCAGATCTCATCCCAACGTACCACATCTCCGGGAAAGTGATTGTGAGCTTTTGCAAGTTCTTTTGCAATGACCTTGTAAAAAAACACAAGCACATGACCAGCGCCCCGTTGACAGACCACCGAAGACGTTTCACAGCTCTTGTCGTTCTTTGACCCGAAAGGCTGCAACTGAGCCTTTCAATGCCTTTCAGCCATGCATGGGCAACGGATGGCGCGCGCAGATGTTCTTGTATATGATCGAACCTCAGGAGTGAGCTGCTATGGCTCCTGACAAGCTGTGGCAGTGACAGCACTGTTTGACTGCCTCAGGGATTTGATGATTGGTGCTTTGGTATTGACATGGGACGGTACATCTTTCAATAGGTTTCAATATTCCTGGTGGTGTTGCACTTCTCTACTTGTGGATTTGCAGCACCTTCTGCTGCGAGACGAGGTGGGCGGCTATTGGTCAACACCCCTCCCGTGCACAAGCTAGCGAAGTCTAGTGCACTGTCGTAGGAGCCTCATAGACCCGGGTTCAAAGATTTAAAACACATCGCACATATAAACTGTAAACCCCTATGAAACAACAACCATCAGGAAAAAAAAAACGTTCGAACGACACCTGGAGGTGTCGTGCTTGAAATTGAGGGCCTACAAGACCTGGTGCTCCACCTCGCCAGGAGAGAAAGCCACCCGCTCGACCGATGGGCACGGGCTGCTTCCAGCCGTTCCAAACCTGATGAGCCGGTGCTGCGTCCAGGGCCTGGGCACGGGCTTTTCGAGTCACCTTGGCTGTTCTGACCGGGGGGAGAAATAACAAGAAACAAAACAGAAATGATGGCATAAGATGGCTCAGGAGTTGGGAGATCAGAATTCCTGAGGTTCTGGAATCCGACAGTTTTCTTTTGCGAGACACTTTATGTTCATGGAAGAGATCGAGAATTGGCGTTGGAGGCATCAGCATCAGACCGGTTGTAACACTCTTCAGCCAGTGAGCTGGTGCACCTCAAGCAGCTCAGACGATTGGAAGCTCGTTTTTGGACCACGTCCACGTCGAACACTGCAAAGCTTTTGCACATGTCATTGGGGAAGTGCTTCCTTCACACCAAGACCTTAAGATGCGAGAAAAGGGGTTAGTTTGGGCCTTGTTTTATAGTGCGTTGACCAAGAAATGTTTGCCTGCTTGGGATTCTTCCATCCTCCATCCTTTCACCTGGCTTGGATTCACAGGTGTTCTGTTAGTCACTAACAGTTAGTAGAAGGTGATACTACATAAAATCAGATTCCAACCCTATCCAACCCTTTCTGGGCTTCAAGTACCTTCTCCGATAAGGTATTTTGGACCCTCCTTTCTGAGCCTCCTGGCGCCCACCACAAACTATCACCCTCAGAAGGCACGACTGGAGCCCAAATGGGCCTCTATGAATCAACCAATTCATCACGAATGGGAATGTTGAAATAGTCGGGCCTTTGATCTTTTCTTGAGTGCTTTTGGGTGGAAACAGCTTTTCCGACCTGCCAGCAGTGCCAGCATCTTCCTGAGGCCGGCGCTCAGGAGTGAGCCTCAGGTTGGGAGGGGGGCGTTGTTGAGGGGAACTGACTCGGCCACGAGGCCGCGGCGGGCGGAATGAGCTGCCAAGGGCATGTCATAAACCCATAGGGCCCTTAGGCATATCAATTGCCCCAGTTAGAGCAGAAATGCCGAGGTCTCAGGCAATGGAAATAATGGCAGATCCAGATGACTTCAGATGATGGATATCCACTTGACACATTGAGGCCTAGAAGTTAGGGCCAGGGTCCTGGCCAGTGGAGGTGGGAAAGTTGCGAAAGGCAGACATTATATATATATATATAAGTACCCTCAACCCATAACTTTCCATTTTGCCAGAGGTATGTTGGTCTCGCTGGGCCTTTTTTCTCAGCAGGACAGATAAGAGCTATCCAGCGATACCTACGTTACTAATTATACCAATTGAGCTTCACTATGAATTGATTCAAGTTCAAGCCATTTCAATCCAACATGTTTGGTAAAAGTGAGCGGTTTCGCCCAAGGTCATGGGCTGTTTTCTGGGAGAGCCAGGGCGAGCCAAGGTCCAGTTGCCCTTGATGAAAGAGAAGCATCCGACATCCGTTGAAGTGCCCCAAATCATATAGTTTCTTCCCATGTGTGGTCTTGTAGTACACAATCTTTTGCTGCAGCAGGGAAGGTTGCAAGGAGTGGTTGAACGGATTCAAGTCCGCGCGGCAATCTTCTGTACACTGTACACTTATAGTCTGGGTCACTGGAGTAGGCCTGCCTGGACAGTGGTGAGACGTGACCTGGACAGGTATCTGAGCTACCTGTTTGTTGTGTCCGTCCAAGTCTTGGCATGATACAATTACTGTAACCAACCCAGCTACAGTTATTGTAGCCATTTGTTCGCCATGCCATGCCTCAACCGTTGGACAGTGTTAGAGGCATCGGATGCTTGTAGACTCTATCCTTAAGGGCCTGGGTGACAGCTCGAGCAGCGCGGGTGTGCAGCTTCGCCGTGCTCCAGGCCTTGAGGGACTGACCTGGTGGCCATTGAGTCGAGTGGTGTGCGGGTTGCGGGTTCCGAGCACGTGGAAATGTGGAAGGACGGCCTGAGAGGGAGCGAGGAAGGGAGGGAGTTGTCACTTGCAGCACGTTGTGGGCGCAACGCCTTTCCAAGTGACGCTATCACAAAGGAAACACCTACAGCCCAGCTACAGTAGTGCTTTTTGTTTCACTTACTTCAAGTCGATCTCAACCTTACGTTTTATCATGTTTTCATTTTTCTTCAACCTCCTGTTGTCCCCGGATTTTAGGTGTCGTTTGGCATCACAGAGTGCCCTGTTTTGAGCTGCAAACAGCGGGTCATCGGTCTCAAGATGCACAGCCTGTGTCATGCCTTCCAGCTGTGCTTCTCCACCAGTGTATCACGTGACTCGGTGGGTTTTCCCACTGCTCAATAGCTAATAGCTTCACCAAGGCTCGTTGCTTGATCAATTCGAGACCTTCCACCACAGCTCAATCATGAACCTTTTTGTTGCAGCATGACATTCCTGTCCAGGACTGCTTTTTGCACAGCCGTTCCAGCGGCATAACTTGTCGATCTGAGCATTGCAGCTGTGTGGTTCCCAAGTGCGAATGTACTGCCAGCGTACTTAGTCCATCTTAGCCGGTCACAAAGCTGCTGATGAATCGGATTGAATCCGTCTTGTGGCACTTTGGTCCCAAAACGCGAAAGACTTCACAAATCTCAAAACTCGGAAGCTTCTAGGGAATACTAAAGGAAACTCCTGAAGACTGAAAACATCGGAATCTTGAAAAATGCGGAGTGGACGCTTTCCCAACCCTTAAGTTGAACCCAAGTTGGGGTTCCAATCTCATCGGCTTTTGTGAGGCGATCCCCATGGCACAGTGTGTGAAGGCAATGGCCCTGGCCGTGTCGGTGTCGGAAGTGGTTCGACATGGAAGTTGGTTGGCTTGGTGGGTGCATGTTTTTTTGCCAAGCATTCCACTTTCAGTGGTCCTTTGGTGGCATGACCTCACACTTCTTACATCATTGCTTTTCCCACTTTGCAGCTGCTTTCGGGCGGAAAAGCCTTCTTCTGACACTAGGAGGAGCATGCGATGCCGTATGCGATTGTCTTCTTTCAGACGCCGATACGCCAGGGCGACTTTGTAGAAGCGTCCCACGACCAGGCTCGTGTAGCCCAACACCAACTGAACACCAAGTCACCTACCAGGACCTTCAGTACGTGACCTCTTTGGAGTCTGTAAGTGACCTCTTTATGGACGATTCGTGACCTCAAACTGGGATCTCAAGGGCGGTCACTTTGAAGGTGCTGGTAGTTCTTTCTTTTTGCCAGTCTATTGGCCTTTGACCAAGTGCTAACAGTGCTGCAGGCGACCATGGTCCTAGCGTTCAACGGAGTGGTGATTGCATGCTGTTTTACATTTACCGCAGCCTGCGAAAATAGCGGCTCAAACATTGCGGATCCCGAAGATGGATTATCCAATTTTCTTGGTGGTTTCCTTGGCTGCAATCCTTGTGGTAGCTTTGTTGTGGAAGCTCTGGAGGTTATGGCAAATTCGGAAAAGAATTTGTGATTATGAGGCCTTGCCTTTGGCTTCAGATGGGGAAGAGGTACATGTTGACAGGGTGGACAGTCACGAAGGCCTGTACCCATCACTTGGAATCATCTCCGAAGACTCCGCGGGAGGAGAACATGATAGTGCTGAAGATCCAGTGCTGAAGAACCTATCAGTTCGGATGCTATCACGGGGAGAAGGACCAACAAGAATGCAGAGTGAACAAGACCCAACACTTAGCATTTGCAGCACTCTGGTCTTTGGAATCAGCACGCTCGCTTGGCTAGTAGCACTACTACTTTGCAAAACAATGACTTGGCAGATGCTGCTCATGGCCATTCCTGGCTATTTCTATGGAACCTTCGTGGCTCTATGTGGCGAATGGAGTCACAAACCCATGGATTTGTTCATCGGCATCGTTTCCACTGCACTCTTCATTTGGTACCTCGCATTGCTCTTCGAAGGAATGCCTTGGTATTTGTCACTCCAGGGAGTGAGCGCTCGCATGGTGCAACACTGGCATGGTCAACTCTGAGCATCCCGGAGCCCGATCGACTCAGACTCAGCTCGAGTCGCCTCCTTGTGGCCTGGTTGACCGCGCTACCTCTTTGGCGAGGTGTCTCGTGGATGGCTGCGCGGAGTCTTCCAGCAGGCCTTTTGGTTTGCTTCCTTTGCTGCTTTTCTTCCTTTGCTGCCAAGCAAAAAGCGATGATCGTTCCGGTCATGATGCTCCTGGGGTGTTATTTGACTTTGCCTTTCTTTTTAATGCGAGCTTAGTAACTTTGTGTTTCTGCTTCTTGAGCTCTCAGTCGCGAGCCGCGAGCCATCGTTGCCCTCACCGGCTTTATAAGAACATGTGCCTTTCGGGAGATCCAGAGGCAATACTCATCACTGATCCAAGCTCACTGGCCTGGGACCTGCAATCCAACCGGATCAGCGATCACTACTGCCGGATCGGGGGCAGTGTGTATCGCGCTGATCCCCTCACCCACCCTCAGATGGGCGTTTGGAGCAAGGACTGACTTGGAGGTCTACCTGAGCTTCAACACTGAAGCCTAGAAATCCTTGGGCTCATCTCTTGATCTGTCACAGCTGCCTCATCAAGACGGGAACATAATTTAGTTATTTCATACTTCAGCCGTAGTTGGGGTTCTGAATTGTCATTGCCAGTTGTTTGAGAGCTGCTTTCGCCTCACCGAAGAAGAGAAAGTCTCCTGCGTGCACGCGATTCTCTAGGGCGGTTCGATCGTTTTTATTCTCGTGAATTCTGACCCTGCTGAGATTCCAAGCTGTAGTCTTTGCACCATCGCCAAGCTGTATTCCTGGTTCTTCAGTTCGTGACCGAACTTGATCTCCTGGGCCACCTGGTTCGTTCTCAAACAGGCCGGGTGAGTCCAGGGTTACCGGGTTGGACTCCGAAGTTGGGTCACGAACTGAAGAACCAAGCAGGCAGATGTGTTTGAAAGGTGTGTGTTTGTTTCTGTTTTGGACCTCTAGACCTCTAGAACACACTGTTGGTCTTTTTGCCGGGATCATTTAGATGTTTTGTTAGTGAGGTGAGTCCAGCTGAGTCCATACCAGATCGGCCGAGCGTCCACCATTGGCTGTTCGCAGCACTCCGTGCAGGCGGCTCGCTGCCGAACTGGCCACCGCCACGTGGCAAAAGAATCACATGTTGACGCTTTTGAAGGCCACAAGACCTGGGAGGTGGTGAAGAC